CAATTAAATAGCATTAAAGTTACAAGGATTACCAACAGGGTGCAGCACTATTATAAAAATCTTTATCAAAGTATTATGAACAATAAAAGAGATGACTTTTTTTTAATTTATGACTACAGTTAATTTGCAACCAAATGGTGAGTGAGCGTAGCGAACGAACATCAACCTGGAGGCGAGTAAGCGTAGCGAACGAGCTAACCTGAAAACAAGTGAGCGCAGCGAACGATTTCCAACCTGAAGGTGAGTGAGCGTAGCGAACGAACTTCAACCAGGACGTGATTGAGCCATGCGAATACTTATGAAGTTAAGCGGGGCAAAGCCCGCGGGTACAGCTAGTATATATATATATATACATATATAAAAATTTGAACGAATGGTGTTTTTGGCCTCTGGGGACATCAAAATGAAAAAGTAAATCGGTCCCGGGCCTTGGTCTTTCCATGCCACCTACGGTAATAGCTACTTCCCTATAGGGAAATTCGCTAAAAAATACTAGAAGGTTATATAACGTAAACTTAAAGTTTCACTAAGTTTTTTTTGATTTCCCAAAAGTTACATAACTTGCACTTAAGTGGTTTCTGAAATAAGTGATTCATTTATCTCCCCAATATATAGGCCCACAAGTTTAAAATAAGTTACCACTCCGCATAAAAAATATTGATAGTAATAGACAGTTCAGATCCTCCAGATTTTTTCTATCGAATGTTATTTAAATAGGGACATTAAGTTAGATTAATAATTTAGTAAGAAATATTTTTTATTTCTTAGTTTTAGTATTATCCTGTATATGACTTTATGTCCTGTCAAATGATGTGATGACATGTAATTAATAAATAAATAAATACACTCTCGCTCACGCCAAGTAAGTGTCCGATATACGCCGCCGTTGTACCCAGGGCGCCTGGGATAACTTGACCTCACTCGCTATCGCTTTTATTACACCTATCAATGTTAATCAATTACGTTATTTAAGTAAAACGTCCGCGGGAAGTTTAGTATTAAATTTAATTGAAAAATTAACAGAGATCGATTTATTTAAACTTGAGGTTATTTTTAATATCGTTCTACTATAAAATAGACTGTGATCTGTTTCGTTCAAATAGCTTTGTAAATATATAATTATCAGTTGTGATTTATGGAATATCTGAATTCCGTTCGATACATATTTTATAGACCGTGAGTTTGAAGAAGTAACGGTCAAAACGAGATCCGCCCTTTTAAAAAATCCTTCTGTTTTATTTGTGTTGGTTTGATTTCTTTGTTTATATATATATTCAAGTTCAATTGGTTCCGGTCACGCAAGGTGGCTCTTCATATTCGTGTGTTTTGTTCGTTTTCGCGTAGGTCTGTGAGAACACGGTATTACCTAAATATAATGTGTGGTGTTTAGTTGTTAGTCAATGTTTATCTTAATTACTGTAGCAGCAATTTAGCTGTGAGATCTTTATTTATGGGCGTAAGGGTAAATAGTTGATTTATTAGAGTGATTTTAATACTTTGTTGGCTTCTTTACTAACTAACACGCTTTCATTTGTTTGTATTTCAGAACTTTACTAACCATTGTAGCTATTCATTGTCTTTTATGCTAGAACCAGTGCAAGTAGTTATGTTCTATGTAGTTGCTTAGCCGCTATTAATTGTTAATGTTCTATGTAGTTGCTTTAGCCTTCTACTAACTATTGATGTGTTGAACAATGCAGTTAAATATTCTCACTTACGATTCGATTCCACTAATAAGACATTAACAATAGAAATTGCTTCAAATCTTACGCTTAACTATAAGGCTTTGGGGAAACTGATTGGCTTTGGGAATTTTAATTAGCCGTGACGTTAGACAGTTAAGCCCCAATTTCTATTTCCATTCCTCACTATTTCCTTGGTTCCTGGACTGTTTCTATTTGAGTGATCTGTGTGGTGCAGCAACTGCTTTGGTTAGCTGTAGTTTGCTAAGTAGCTTTCTTCTTTATCTATTAATTTGGGCACACCGGAAATAAGTTAGTTTTAATTAATTCGAGCACACCGGAAATAAGATAGATGTAGTTAACTTTTAAGCTCCTAGCTATAAGTCTTCTACTCTGTCACTTTCTTACTATGAATGTTTGCTGCTTGCCACAAACTTTCCTTTCTTCTTTCTCTATTACTTCGGGCACACCGGAAATAAGATAGATGTAGTTAGCTTTTAAGCTCCTAGCTATAAGTCTTCTACTCAGGCCCGGTCTGGCCAGGGCGGCTGGTCGGCGATCGCCGAGGGCCTCCGGCTCAAGGGGGCCTCCAAAAGCCAAAAAATCAAGTCAACAAAATTTGTTATAATACAAAAATATTTAATTTTACTTATTCACAGCGACGTAGGCCTAGTCTTGCCAAAACAATTTTTAATAAACAATAAAATTTTTTTATTGATTATTACAGTTAAGGGTAGCCCCTAAGTACAGTGATAGTCACTCGGTACCTACTAGAGGATAGTCGCCGATCTCACCACACCGCACCGTTCGAATCAGCTCAGCACCCAGTGCTCGCGACATTGCCGTGCCGGCTCGTCTGCCTGTCTGGTGTCTGGACTCTGGACTCAAGCAGACAGCTTAGCGCTTGAACTAGTAGTGATGGGACAACAGACTGGAAAAACTATTGACTAGTCAATCTTGTCAATCGGTTGTTTTTAAAACCAGTCGTTTTTTCAGTCGAATGAAAACCCGAGTGAATTCCATTACAACAACAACTGGTGGCATTCAATCGGTGCAGTGGTTTAAGTCATTGCAAAGAAAATTATCGAATATAATTTTACTTTAAACATTGGTGTTTTTGCGCTTCATTCCTATTGTTTGTTGTCATTTGCATTAATATTTTATTACTTTGGTATAAAACGTAATGGAATGACAACATTTACAATTAATTTAAACATTTTTAGTTTATTACATGACTGAAAGATATAAATTAGTCAGTACTAATGTCTCTAACTCAGTAAAACAAATAATCCTATTTATTCGTTACCTGGTTTTTAAAACAGATTTTACTTCAGGCATTAACATCTAAATCATGAGTATATAAAACACAGTTACTTGGCTAGGCAATTTTATATTTTTTTAAACAACAAAAATACATACATTTACATTTTATGTATCATCCCTAAAAACTGTTCCCAATTTTTTACGTCAGTATACGTCAGTTTATCTACAACTGATTTCATTCGACCAGTCAGCCTCAGCACTAAAAGGTCGAGTATGGTGCTTAAGACTAGTTTCAATCACCGACGTGTGACTGTTCCAGTCATTCCTACGTTGTGGGTTATGACGTATTGTTTGAAAGAGTAATAACACGTGAATCGTTCAGTTTATAAAATGAAACGTGTGCACCCAAATGGCTCAAGTAAAATAAAAATGGATAGGAATTTTTTTTTCAAAATAGCAACAAATTAAAGTAAAAAAGTTTGAACTTATACTTAGCTGGTTTCAGTTCCGATTCTGCTAACAATACTCGCAAACAGGTAGGCGGAAATATCAGAAGTGTTTTGTAAAACTTAACTATTTTACTTAACTTAAAATACTTTTGATTGTTTATGTTTGTGTTTGTTGCCTAAGTACAATTATGGAGTAAAATGTGTGATAAACAGTAAATGTGCTTTATTCATAGATGTATTCAAAATTCAAAAGTGTTAGGTGATATGCTTTTGTACCATGTATGGCAAAAACTCCAAGAACAAAGTTTTGGAATTATTTTTAAATTGAAGACTTAAAACAATTTTAAGAATAGGCATTTTCATTTTATGGCAGCTATAGAGGTAAATAGAAATAGGAGCAAATTGTATATCAAATTAAAATTGATTGATACCTTGGAATTAGATTTATAAATATAACGATTTTAATTTATGGAAATTTAGCAATTATTAATTTAATCCAAATTATCAAAGAATTTAAAGCATTTAAAACCACCTTAGGCCCCTTTTATGTACCTGCGGCATGCAGCAAACATATGCAAACTAATTATTGCCGTAATAGCACCCCATGGTCCTTGTTTTATTTCTGGCTGGGGGCCACAAATCAACATCTAGCCGAGGGCCTCCAATGGAGCCAGACCGGGCCTGCTTCTACTCTGCCACTTTCTTACTATGAATGTTTGCTGCTTGCCACAAACTTTCCTTTCTTCTTTCTCTATTACTTCGGGCACACCGGAAATAAGATATATGTAGTTAGCTTTTAAGCTCCTAGCTATAAGTCTTCTACTCTGTCACTTTCTCACTTTGAATGTTTGCTGCTTGCCACAAACTTTCCTTTCTTCTTTCTCTATTACTTTGGGCACACCGGAAATAAGCTAGTTATAAGTTAGCTTTAACCTATTCCGGAAAACTCGGAAATAAGTTAGTTATTAGCTAGATTTAATCTATTCCGGAAACCCCGGAAATAAGTTATTTATAAGTTAGCTTTAATTACTTCGGGCACACCGGAAATAAGTTAGATATTAGTTAGACCTAAGCTATTCCGGAAAACCTGGAAATACGTTAGTTATTTGTTAGGCTTAATCTATTTGAAATAAGTCTTTGGGTGCTCAACCTGTCTGTGTGTGTGTGTGTCTCGTATCTTACTCTTTCTATCAACGATCCTTCTCCACCCCACTCTGTATGTTCGTTTGCACCTTTCCATATTCCTACTCTCTCATGGGGCTTTGAACTAGTCCACTCGCTCCGAAAACATTGCATTATTTTAAATGATAAAGACGCATATAAACTAATTCTGCTTGATCCGTGGCGCACGGACGTAGGGTAATAAATTAAATAATTCACTAACACTCCGCCGAGGAGGTTGTGAACAGAGTCTCGCAAGGAGCTATAACTTCGAAACAAAACCTCGCCCTCTCTTTTTCTTCACTCGTTTCCTGGCGATGATGAGGCACGAATAAAGCCAAGAGGCAAAACATTCCCGTTGAGGCAAAACAGCCTACTGCACAGCCATACAAAATGGGACAGCACTAATTTTTTTTTACACACAAGGAAACTCTAGGCAGCCTACCTGGTTCCAATTGTCCTTGAAGACGAGCCAACGTCATCGATGGATATGGCAGTAACGTTGATGAGACTAGCGGCTGACTGGCGCCGCGTGGACTGACAGGTCGCAACTCAGGTACTGTGCTAAGGGTTCGCATGGCAGTCGGGGTCACGGCTAAGTGACTGGGTCGCTTAGCGGCAGCAACCGATGTGACGGAACTTTGACCAGCCGTAGAGTTAACCGTCATCACTGCTGGAGGCTTTTCGACTTCGAGGTACCGGTACCACAGAACCTGAGAAAAGCAAAGATACATTAGAATAACACCATGAAACCTGTTTCAAAGAGTCATGCTCAAGTTTTAAACGTTTAAATGCATGCAGGAAAGTGTAAATGTACTTTTTGTTCTGGCGAGTTGTAGTTGGTGAAGCGAATATCAGGTTTAATATAAAGAGCAAAAAGTTGCAACTGTAAAAAAATATCCATTCAATTACTCTTTCAATACTGTTGTACTGTTGTTCAATACTGTACATATTTAAATTAAATGCTTTGGAAAGTTTAGATTTGTAGTGGTTGGATCTTTTTAGCGAATTTCCCATATAGGGAATAAGCTATTACCGTAGTACTCATGTTAAGACCTGGACGCGGGACAGATTTTTTTTTTTTTGCTTTGAGGTCCCTAGAGGCCAAAAACACCATCCGTTCAAATTCATATCTATATATATTTATAGGCCTATATTTATATTTATATATTTATTTATATATATATATATGTGTGTCCGTTAGCACGATAACTCGAGCAAAAATGATCCGATTTTGATGAAATTTGGTATGAACGTGTAAACCTACATTTATTCCAACGAGTTCGCGAACCAGCATGATCGGACTATGGGAACGGGGGTTTACGGGGGGTTTTATGGGGTAAAAATAGGTTTTTCCCATTTTTGACCCAAAAAACATAAAATTTTGCAATTTCTTTCCAAACCATTTTGTAGAGCTTAAAAAAACAAATAATTTAGTATATTGAAGTGTTATTATGTGCCTAATGGTTACGGAGAAAATTAAAAAAAAATGTAAATTTAAATTCCCATGTTATTCTTATGGAGAACAAGTAAACTGTTGTAGTTTGCTTGTTTATGAACATATTTTGATCAAATTTGGAAAATGTTTTTTATTTCTTACTAACTATTAACATTTTACAAAAAAAAACAGTCCTACCCTCCCTGATGCAGCAAACCTAAGTACTTGTTAAACTAATTCTATTTAAATAGGAAATAAATGTTAGCCTATATTTTTTTAAGTAGACATTTTGATTAAATCCAATCAGGCAAATGGAAATTTGCTTAGTCTGCAGGTTTGCTGCGGCGGGGGTATTTTGGATATTTCTCTATTTACCTTCTCTTTATGTCCCACCTTTATATCCTACGACGCTAGGCTATAGCCTGTAAATGTTTTAAACATTACTTCAGGCTAGTCCTAGAGGGTTGTGGCATTATGACATTGCTAAAATTAATTGGTGATTGGCATAATTTGAACCAGTAACTTGATCAGGGCCGTATTTCCCTAACGGCGGACACGGCGGTTGCCGGGGGCCTCTGCCTAGAAGGGGCCTCACTTGGGGCCACAAATATTTTTTCTTGATCAATTTATTTCACCAATAATCTTTTTCGCAGCGATATCGGAGCTGTTTATGAAATCTGAGTGACCGCAAACCGTTGGCGTAGGAGTTTTCACTTTTCGTCCTTGTTCGCTGAGAAGTCCAAGGTTGTATCGCCACCGCGGGAGACAATGATGATGTCTACACGGCCACGGGAAATAAACTTGATTTTGCCACGATCTCGAAAGACGACGATCGAGTTTTCGAGACCGCAAGATACGATGATGACGTTTACACGTCCGTGGGAGATGTTAATGATTTTGCCGTTTTCACACAAGACGACGATCACGTTTTCAAAACCGCGGGAGACGATAATGACGTTTACACAGCCGCGTTAGATGTTCATGATTTTGCCGTTTTCACGCAAGACGACTATCACGTTTTCGTAACCGCGGGAGACGATGATGATGTCTTCATGGCCGCGCAAGATGTTCACCCATTCTCTGTGGCCACATAAGTCGTTCATGAATCCGCCGCTATCAGAGGAGACAGAGATAACGTCTCAGCGCTGACGCAAGATGTTCACCATGTAGGCCTACTGAGTTTTTTCAGGCTTTTAAACTAATAAATAGCTTAGATAAAAAAAAATTTTGGAGGTACCGGTACTAAAAATTTTTCAAATTTCTTGTGATATATATTTACGTTTACCAAGTAGGATGGAATTAGGCCCTAAAAAAAAACTCTGTGTGTTTTACACTATAACATACATGTTGTGTAAAGATTTTAACTCCCTATCCCTAGTAGTTCCTGAGAAAAGGTACATAACATGACAAAAATAACGATATGCAAAAAATGGCGTATAACTTAGGCCTTTAGGCCTAGGGGTATAGAAAATATGTGATATGCGTTATTTTGCCTACCTTAAACATTTTAGCCCCATATTTTCCTCAAATATCTTTTCCAGTTTTCTTTCTTTCTTTCAAAGCTATTGCTGTCCCCATCACCAAGGTAACTTACATATTTAATCAAAAAATATACAAATATTTCAAAACTAAAACCTCATTTCAAAAGAAGTCAGGCCTCGCCTATGCATTTGTTCCAGATTTTTTTACACGGGTAAAATATTTTTAGCACCAAAGTGTTATATATCATTCTGTCCTGGAAGAAAAGCTCTATAATTTGGAGAAATCTATAATATTAAAACGAAACAGTGTTTTTTTATTTCACGATTCTGAATCAACCACTCGACAGATTTTCATGATTTTTGTGTTGAAAGAAAGATAATTTTGAGAACTAGGGAATGTCAAAGCCATAATTTTAGTTTAGGGTCCCAGTTTTTTAGAAATTAAGTTTTAATTTTTAAAAAGTCTAGCAGCCGACGCTAAGATTCTAAACTAGCTTTTGGCATAAGATAATTTGCTTAACATAACAGCTGTAAACTCAGTTTTGTGTCACAAATTCAGCATTTGGATAAAAATGTAAAGACATACTTAGGGTTGACTTATTTATACTATGTGTAATGCTAATCATTGATACGTTCAATTCTTCTGTAAGAGGATGACAGATTAATTAAATAGGCCTATACATAGTAAAATACTAGGACGTTCAAATTATTTTTTAAGCAATCTTTGTAATCTTCGATTTGTTTTAGAGCAATATATTTTGTTTTAACTAACAGCTGGTTAAATATAAACTATGGAACTATGAGGTTATTTTATTTACTCTTATTTTGTCATCGATTATAGGAAATAAGTAAGATTAGTAGAGATAATTAGACCACAGTTTAAAATAGTTTAGACCAAAATTAATTAAACCACAGTACAAATCGAGGCTCTGTACACGAGTCTTAATAAAAAAGGATAAATGCAAATTATTTTACTGCTCCACTTTTCAAGGAAAGATTAGAAAATAACATTGTTTACATGTTTTAATTCTTCATGGTAGCTTTTTGTTTACAATTAATGTTTGTCTGCTTTAACTTTGTTTGGATTAGGCCCGGAAATATTGATGTCATAAAAAGAAGATAAAGAATAATCAGGAATCGTGATTACCACCACAACCTCAGCCGGGTTTTATACAAAGATAAACAGATGGATGACATAGAGTGAACACAACGTCAACATTGACCTAGGATACTGCAATTAGACAAACCATCCTTTTATGAAATCGTGTTCAGTTGTGGTTATGTTTGGGGGTGCCTATATCAGCGCCCCCAAACGTGAAAATATCACTTTTATTTCAACTATGAATATATTGTAGTTTAAATTAACTAATATGGGAAATTACGATGCACATTTATTCAATGAGGGTGGGTAATTATCAAGGATAGAACTGATAACGGTATGGATGATAAACATTGACAATTACGTCATTAGCTTTACTAGCGTATTTACTTTTTATATTCCTGCTACATGTGACCAGTTCTTTTTTTCAAATGAATGTTATTTGAACCAAACAGCTGTTTCAAAACAAACTGTTATTGTTTTTACTTTTCTTTGTTTACACTTATTTATTTAGCAATTAATGCAGTGAAACTGATATAAAGGATAGGTGTGACGATTAGTTTTGATGTTAGGACACCAAAGATAAATTATGTGTACTGTGAATTTTATTGGATATTATTGTTTTATTTTAGGTCGTTTCTATTCAGACCTACTGGAAATTGTGTATAGTATTGTATAGTAAGTTAGGTATTGTGGTGATAATAATTATGGAAGAGGCAGGTATGCTATGGAAGGTGGTATCGTTGACTAGGTCCATACACTTCTCAATTGACTATTACTCTCTCTACTGTAGGCTACTTATAATCAGTGTGCGTCTGTGCGAATCGGCTGCAAATCTCACTTCAACGCTTTTCACATAGTAAAAATTGCAGAATTGCTGTTTTATTGTAAAATTATCGGATTTAAATGCATATCGTATAGGCCTATGATGGAATAAAAACATATTTGGTCACACAACATTTGTTTACAAGATGATTTTTCACATTAAAACTGCAAGAAACTTTGTCTTTATATGTGTAAACTAGCTGATCTGAATTGTACACGGTTTTAACTGACTACTGAATTCCCGTACGTAGGACGGGCTAACACCTTGTAATTTAAAAAATGCAAAAAAAATATTTACCTTACCGCCTTGTATTTCTAAACCCTTAACCCTTCCCGGACGGGCGAAATCATGACATAGGACGGGAAAAAATTAGAGGAAAAAAAAATTAATTTTTCATATTTGTGTTTTGTTATACAAGAATACATAAAAGAAACACAGTGGAACACATCATACTGTCAAAATAATTTTTTTTATCGTTTTTAACTATGCGGATCCGCTACCCGTCCGTGGATGAGTAGAAATGCAGCGGATATATCCGCCACCCGTCTTTGAAGATATGACCATGACAACGTTAGGCAATAAATAAAGAACAATATGTAAACAATAAATAGAGACATTGCGTGTTGAGCGCAAAACGTCAAGGGGGGGAGCGTAGGAGTGGTGGTAGGTGCGCGGGAGGGGGTGAGGCGCAGAAGAGGGGTTAGCGCAGTAGAGAGGGGGGAGTGCGGGGGAGAGCGCAGTCATGGAAAGAACAGGATAGTGGCGCCTTGGTTCCGCGAAACATCTGGTTACTGCTCAAGCACCTGCCAGTCTGTCTGAAAAGAAGGCGGATATAACCGCTTCCCGTCCGGAGCATCAAAAACCATATGCGGATATATCCGTCACCCGTCCTTTTATCACCAAAGACCTATGCGGATATATCCGTCACCCGTCCGGGAAGGGTTAAGTTCCAACCATTGAAGAATCAGAATACAGAGAGGGGCCTCTCTAGTGAGAGCCGCTTGAGGCCTCATAGATTCTAAATACGGTCCTGAACTTGATACCTAGGGATACTCAGGGATCCCTACACACCTATTACCTTTTAATTCTCTATAAAACTCATTTCAAATGTCCATTCTAGTACAACATTTGGTTCTTACCTTTACGATTTTAACTGTGCAATATGCCATTTGTAATAGCAAGATAAATTCCTCATCCAATCTGCTACTGCTAGTCATGTGTGAATCTAAAACAGACATTCCATTTTGTTGGTAGGCCTATAGTAGGTAGTACATTGTGTGGTTCCTGTGCAATCAGAATATTAAATGAGCAGACATATATTATTTATCAAATTTTGTTTAAGAATAAATTTGTTGAAAATATGCTACTTTACATTTTAAAATTTAACTTACCTAGATTCCTGTTTTTGGACCTGAACCAATGCGAATGCAATTCAATCAATTATTCAATTTGGTTTTGAGTCAATCAAAGTGCATCATTTAATAATTATTTCATTGTTCAACCACCTGATGAGAGACTTACAGTATTTTTTAAAAAACATATCATGAGGACATTTTTAGAGCTTCTAAATCATTGATACCATTGATTATACATACTCCCTTTTAAATACATACTAGCACAACCCGTTGTGGCTTTGCCCACGAAAATTTAAATTACCGGTATTAGCTAAGTGTTTAATCTGATACAAAATATTTATAAAAAATACCCCCGCCACAGCAAACCTGCAGACTAAGCAAGTTTCCATTGCCTGATTGGATTTACACTAAAATGCCTCCTTAAAAACATCACACGTATTCCCTATTTAAATAGAATTAGTTTAACGAGTACTTAGGTTTGCTGCAACAGGGAGGGTAAAAAGGTGTTTTTGTTTTACAATTTTAATATTTTAGTATGAAATTATAGTCCAGTAACTTAAATAGAGACAAAAATAGGGGGGTAACTTACAAACGGTCCGGTAGTTCTAATTTTTTTATATGTTGTCTAGGATGGTAAGTAGGTGTTTAAAATGCAAAATGAGCGTAAAGAAGAACCCACAACTGTTCCTAATAAATGCAGCATTCCACAACTACAACACAAGGCAATGTAAAAATGTCCACCTAACCCAAGTAAACTCCACTTTAGTAGCAAATGGCCCTAAATTTATGTGCTCCAAAATCTATAACAAGATCCCAACTAAAATAAAAAATATTGAAGAAATAGAAAAATTCAAGATGTTACTCAAGAATTATTTATTGAAGAGGCCATACTACTCACTGACAGAGTACTTTGAAGATAAATGAAAAGGCCAATATTTTTTTGACGACCACGGCGCAGTGACGCTTCCAGTGGGAAATCTTCAAGTATCAAGTAAGTAAGTATCAAGTATCAAGTAAACGGTGGCATCGGCTGAGCGCGCGCTCCCTTGCCGCTTGATATAATTCTTCGTAGCTAAAAAAGTATTTCTTTTATCGAAACCCAACCGATACTACAGTTAAATTAGAACCTTTCCCTAAAACTTTCCCGCAGGTCTCATAAACCTGACCAAATAATACGTGATTTGGTAGCTGACTAACTTTTTTGTGTTAGTATGAAAAAGTTAGAAGTTTGATCGGTGGTTGAATGGTTTTTAATTCAAATAAATTATTCAAATTTAAATCATAAGCATCCTATGTTAATAGTCCAAGACTATGCAAAGTTTCAGCAATTTTTATCGGTTCTTACTATTAAAAATTACAATTTTATTAGAGCGGCGTCACTGCTCGATATGGTCGCGAGGCATGTTTGCCCCCAAGGTGACGTCACGATACCCCTCCCCCGCGGCCCGCACCGCCAGCGGCCGGCTACGATGCGCAGTAGCACTACACCTTATTTACTTCCACCATGGACTCAGACTCAACTCATTCTCATCTCACTCTCACTCATTGTCGTTGTGGTTGTCGTTGTCATTCTCGCTCTTTCTAGTTTTTTTGCTCGGAGTGGAGTTGGTGTGGTTCCGGTGTGGTCCGGTGTTTTCTGTCTGTTTCTGTTCTGACCTGAGACCTGACTATTATTTTTTGTATACTTAAGCGTATACACGTGTGTGGTGGAATTGTAATCTGTTTAAAAAAATAGGTAAAGTTACTATAACATTAAGCTGGAAAGAAAGATAGCTTGAAGCAAGTAATTTAATAGAAGTTAGGGTAATTTTAGGAATGTGGTTGAATTTATGAACAGGCCTAGGCCATGCCTATAACATTTCGTGTAGGCCTACAGTAGTCCTAGGGGTAAATTTCTAGATTACAGCCACATGAGATTTTTAAGTACTGTAATTTCGATTAAAATAAGGCCAAAAATGCATAGTGCATCCAAAATAAATGGGTGGAAATCTTATTCTACCCACCCTAACCCCTTTTATCATCTAAGGGGACCGGTGGACTCATGTCTTATGAATCGGGGGTTTTGGGTGGGGGAAAACACACGATCTGAGGAAAATTCTCTTAAGGGTATAAACGTGTATTGCACTTGCACTAAAAAAATCGTACTAATTTGTTCAAACCTAATCTAATGTAAGTAACAACAACACTAGGTTAGGTTAACCTAACAGGCCTAGCAAAACCAAACTTAAGCCTATAAGTTAACAATCAGCAAATTCCCTTTGATGCCAGAAAATACATGTTAGGACAGAAGGTCTTTCTTTATGTTAATTCATGCCTACATTAAGTCCTTTGAAGGTAGGTTAGATTAGGTAAGGTACCGGTTAAGTTAAAGAACAGTGTTGTTAGTGTATGTCATCTGTAGGCTTTATAACTTAGTCTAACTTAATTACAGTAGATCAAAATAGGCTACTATTTTACAGGGTCTTATCCAGTGTTTTAATTTGACATAAAAAGTCTGGATATAAGTTAACATTTAAACTAACAACTCGATTCATTGTAACCTAAACTTTACCTTCCTAATCCAACCTAACTTCAAGACACTTCAAGTACAGCCCCGAATCAACATCAAGAACAACCTCCCATCCTAACATGCCAAAATAATGACTAACTTAGCCCACGTTAGGTGTACCTAAGTGGTCTGTAGCCCATATATATCTCCGTAGTGAGACAAAATTTTCTTTAAAGGAAACATTGACTAATGAATCACTTAAGATTATGTCATTACATGGTGAGATTACTCGCCACGACTAGAGTAGTGGCTACTAAGTAATCGCTGTAGGTACGGTATGTGACATGGTAAGTAGCGGCAGCAGGCATTCACCGGCAAATCAAATTTCACTCACTAACTTAACTTAGGAAAGTTGGACATGTTCAACTTTTGGGGCGAGTAACTTAGTAGCTAGTATCCAACCTTCAAATCAACACTGTTCTCACTTGCCATGTATCGTTAAGTTAAGCTATTTTTAGTTTTTTCCTGCATGAAATTTCCTTCCTCCAAAATGTATCTTTTTTTCTTCATCTACCATATCCAACAACTCATCACATTTTGGAACAACTATCCTCATTATTTTAAAATATGATTAGAGGCCTTCATTTGCTAATTCTTTCATAAGTATTGATGAAGCACCCTCTCGTTTCGCTATCCACTTCCGAACCCACTTGCGTTTATTTCTTCTTCTTGATTTTTGCACAGATCACTTAGGCAAATCTGCAACAGACGTCTTAAAGCCTCCATCAAAAATACCAAGCATGACATTTTCCTCAGCACAGTAATTTATTCTACACAACCAGACTGAAGTAGCCGCTACAACTCGCCATGTGTGACTGGAATTGTTTTTCAAGCCTGCGAGTACGACAGGGGACTAAAGTTAGCAAGTAAACTCGCCATGTGTGACAGGACCTTTAAGAAGTGTTTCTACAGTCAATAATTTTAATCAACGATATACTATTATTAAATCTTCCCAGCATTTCTCAACTTGCTTCACTTCACTTCACCAATGAATGTTAGCAGTAAGTGAAGTGACGCCATTTTTGATTGAAAAATCTGTCTAAAACATGTTATATTTGATCAGCTGGAAATATTCATTTCCGTTAAAAATGATGGTAAACTTAAATAAAACTGTTAAATAAGATTCAAGGCTAAAAATTTGTGTGAACGTACGTTTAGCCTATCCCATTATACCTTGTAGGCTTGTAGGCTTCTGTCTCTTCAGATGGATGCTCACACGGTTGCACCAGATAATTAATTAAATTCGTCTCAAAACGTTCCCACGAGAACAGTGGTTTCAGTACGGCCCACTTCCTGCCGATCTAGTCTGGTTAAACCGATGTGCTGATATAAATTATCCGGATAAAGAGATGTCACTTCTACCGAGTGTAGTCCGGTTACAAGGTGTCCGGATAAGAGGGAGTCTACTACATTTACATTTCATATAGGCCTACCTAATTTAAAAGTTTTCAATCCATCTTAACTCATCTAAATCATGCGGCATCAATAAGTCTAAATAGCCCTAGTACATTGCTAAGCACCAAATACACAAATTGGACAAAGCCCTAAACTAGTTGCCTTGATATTGTTGAGCGGAGCGAGCACAGCTCTAACTTGAAGTATGTCATCTCTTATGCATTTCTTAAACCCTCCAAAGGTCCATAGTTTAGGCCTTAATGTCCACCTATTTTTGGCGCATTTGCAAGGTTTTATTAAAACGGATCTGAGAAGCTTAAAACAATGTTAATTCTAATGTTCTATATACCATTTTGTTTGGAAAATCATGGGCTTCAATATTATATATATAAAACATAAGGAACATTTAAAAAAAAAAAAAATTTTAGGTAAAAAAAAATATAGGCCCTACCGGTAATTTCAAAAATTTTCAAAAAAAAAATAAGTTTGCGCTCAATGAAATTGTATAAATTATAGGCCTATAAATATTTGAAAATAGCCACTTTGTTCTAAATTTAATGAGGATTACAAATATATAAACTTAATCATATAGCGAGATGAGCGAAAAACGGATTTCAGTACATAGCGTTTAGCTAAGAATGCATAGCCTAACCATAGCTAGGAATCTGGCTGATAATTTACATCAATATCACTACCTACTTCTTCAGGATCATCAACCAGCCCTTCAAAATCACTTAAATCTTCTTATAATGCACCACGTATATCCCTACTTTTGATTTTTAACACTAAAACAATGATAAACGTAATAAAACACATCAGTCATCGGTCGGAGGGTAACCTAGCTGTTTACAAATACACGCACGTCAGCTGTCTGCTACGATTATGATCGGCTCAGAGATCATACAGCGCTGAGACAGACCTCTGGAGAAAGCTTAGAATATTACGGAAAGAACGATACCTAACTCGATCCAGTTCAATCCGATTCAGTCAGTCATAGAGCCTTCGCCGTAAACGATGTTCGTGCGTCTAAAAATAGACGCGTGACACTACACAAAGTGTGTTGTGCGTCTATTTTTAGACGCGTGACCCTCGGAGGGTTAACAGGCAAACTCCTCTTAGATGGTTATGGAAGCAGTATTCTACACGCGGCACTCAGTCAAATCTCACTCGAATTGAAAGCTGCGTCTTCACGCTTGGTTTTAATCATTTATATTAAGCTTAAAACCGATTCGGTTATTTGGGATTCGTATAGTCGGCGTTTTACTGTCCATCTTACTTTAAAAGGGCTATACTTTGTTTTTTGTCTCCTGAATCCAAACATATGTAGGCCTATAACTTACCATTATTTTTCACTGCTGATGAATAGTGCTCAAGATATCACCGTATCCATTTAAACTTAACATTTGAATTCACAAAGTAGGACGGATAATATTTACAAGAAGAATGCCAACAGCTGATTGTTTTCATCGCCAAGCACTGGAAGTAACAACTAACACCGATTTTGACGGATTTCACCTACCTAGTAATATTTGTTATGTATTTGTCATTTATCCTTTTTGAGATAGTGTGATAGTTTATTTTTTTGTTCATATTAGCCTTGATTGTTTCTAAAAAATTTTGTTGTTGCAGAACCTAATTTTAAGATGGCGAATGTTAATGGTTCTACCAACCCTGACAGTCAGAATAATGAAGAGACAAAAGTAAATGAGGTAAGTAAATAATGGATATTAAATTAAGTGAATACAGGAAATTGTTTGAATTATTTTACGTAGGGCCTAACCTGGGTATTATTTGTTTCAATTTATTTTTTTACTGATATTAACTTTTTAAGTAAGGGCCTAGTGGGGTTTTTTAAAAGTTAACTAGGCTATACATTTTTTTATAATGACCTATATTTGAAATTTGAATTTCAGGAGGTCAATGAAAACGGGAGTGATACCAACAAGGAAGGAACCCCTGCAAAGGAAAGTGCTGCAGATGTTAAAGCAGAAGTTATATTAAATCCAGAACTGCGGGCTAAAAAAATCAAAAGACAAATCGAGGTAGGTTAAATATTTTATAACTTACTTTGTTGCCAAACAGAGTATTTACTTCTCTTCAAGCCAGGATTTGCTAAGATGATGAACCGCTAGTTAAAATCAGTTATTTAGCTACATGTGTAATAAGTTAAGTTTTAAGTTCTTGTAACATTTTGTTCCGTTTCCGACAAATAGAAAAAAACAAAACAAATGAAAAACAGGCCAGCCAAACAAGATGATCTTTGCTGGAAAATCTAACCTTTTTTCATAAAGGGTTGACTTTAAACTGATAACTAGCATTCTTTGTGAGTTTCCTCCTTTTTCCAAAACATGAATAATAGGCGATGAACATTTTTCAATTGAACACAATAGGCTATGGTTTTAGATCAGGACTCGATGTCACATTTAAATTTGTTTTTACTTTTTGTCTGATGTTGACATTGTTGTACGCAGGACACATAATGCTGCCCACGTTTTTTGTGACCTCATCTAAACATTTTCAGATGAATCAATTTAATGTTGAAATAATTATTGCAGTATTATTTTGGTGACTTCAATCTTCCCTCTGACAAATTTCTGAGAGAAGAGGTGAAGCAGAAGGATGGTTGGGTAGCTCTTGAGACGATGCTCAAGTTCAAAAGGTTGGCATCTCTTACCCAAGATCCAGCTGTCATTGTGGAAGCACTGACTGGTTCAGAACTTGTGCAGGTACCTATCATCATATTTAGATTTGAGAAATTGAGTAGTTTTTTTTTTTTTTTTTTTTTGCCTTAACTTATGTCTATGTTTATGATGATGTGGCATCGTAATGAGATAATTTAATTGTATTGAACAGAAGCCATGATATAGTTATTTTAACTGTTAGTCAACAAGCTATAGGCCTAATTTATGAACAAACTTTATTTATTGCTTTTGTGGAATAGTAAAAAAAAAATTCAAAAGGATAAATAAAACAACTGATTAATATTGTACCAAAAATTGGCTAAACAAATACCATAACAAATTTATAGTTTTTAAACAATTTCATGTAGGCCTAGTCTACAGCAAAATTTAACTCAGGGTGAACAACTGTGCCACAATTCGTTTCTCAGAAACAGTTCCATTTAGGCCTAGATAAAACATATAATAGAGAACTTAAACTATTTAAAAATATGAACTCCACTTTTTAAAAAAGGCTAAAGGCTGCTGTTTTTGTATAAATGGCGGCTAATTTTAAAATTTCTTATGGGAAATTGTATTTTGTGACCGTTAGTGCAATTTAAAAACTTTTCGTCATATTTCAGCAAGAACAGCTGGTTTTAATGTAAGTTTTGTGGGTCTTAAGTATCATTTTTACTCTCTAGTGATTAAACAGCGTTTTTAGCCAAAAAATAGAGTAAAATAGAGTAATTAATGGAGTAATAATAGGCTGATGTCAACTCAGTTGTAAATTTCGATTGTAAACAAAGTTGCATGTATCAAAAGTATGTATCGATTGATTAATTGATTGTAGTTAATTGGTGCCCAATTGTAAATAGTTTGACATATCAATAGTATAATGTACACTAACACATACATAATAGACAAAATGATTGAATGACTTACTAAACAGCTGCTTGTTTTCATTAGCAAACTAGCTGCTGTACCCGTGCTTCACAAAGGAGATGACACTGAAGATAAAAAAATCTCTAAACCTGTTATATAAAATAGCTACACATCTACCTTTTTCAGAAACAAAATTTAATTGGACCTCTTATTAAAAAAAATATCTTTCTTGAATGACCTAAGTACAAATTATTATATGAGGTGCTGTGTTGCTGATGCAAGTATGAAAATACCGTACTCATACGATTTAATTTTCTAATGATACTTAGCTTATTTAGTTGAAAATCTTACATACAAAGTCAATAGGTAAAAAAGAATCGCACAACATAGCGTACTTAAGTAAAACAAAAAGAGTTTCTATTAATATCACATAAAATTGATACAATTTAGCCTTACTACTGAAATTTGTCAAGAATCTTTACCTGCAGCTCATCTTGTAAATATCAACTTGTATTACCTTTTGTTTGAAAGCCAACCCCTACTAATTATTTTTAATCTGGGCCAAAATTCATCAATGTATGTATATAAGAATTTAACCTACGACGGTTTTTTTTTTTTAAAGTAGCCGTTTCAGTTCAGTTCTTAGAATTTAAAAGTTTCACATAACAGTATAGTTTTACTCATAACAGCACGGGTAACAGACCAATGAGATTCAAGGATTGAGAGAGAAGAAGTAAAATTGTAATGATTCGAACTTCAACTAATCAGCTGTTCAAGCCAATTTAATTGTTGAGTATTGCAATAAGTGTTTGATGCAATGTTTCATTGTGTCACTGTCAGTGGCAATGAGGGGTTATAAATGAAAACGTAAGCTCTCTTAGAAGCTATGAGTAGTGATTTTTTAGTAATTTAAACACTGTAGGTAAAGTAGTGAACGCAACTTGCACAAATTGTTATTGCAACACACTTAGAAATTTTTAAGGCACTTGCCAAGGCTCATGTACCTTTAATTTTCTACTCATATCGTTAACACTATCTTTACACAATCGTTGCATAAACTACTATAAGCACATGTATAATACATAACAGTTCTTATTTTTACTTGTTTCATAGTTAATTGTATTACCACTAATTACTTACAAGCTAAACATTGAGTGAAGAAACATAGTTCAGGGTGTATACCAACCGGGAGAACCGGGAAATAACATTGAATTTGAAGGGACCTGGAAAAACCGGGATTTTCGGACCTATTCCGGGATTTTTATTTTTGCCCCAGTAGAAGATTGTAGTCGTAAAATGCGTCTTGCCGCGATTGCGGGCGACGACGATGACGTTTTCGTGACCGCGGGAGACGACAATGTAAAGTTTTCGTGACCGCGGGAGACGACGATGATGTTTCCGTGACCGCGGGAGACGACGATGACGATGACACGGCCGCGGGAAATATTCATGATTTTACCGACATCGCGGGCGACGACGATGACGTTTCTCGATAACTGCGAGAGGCAATGATGATGTCTACACGGCCGCGGAAGATTTTTGTCATTTGCCGTGACCGCAAAAGACGACGATGATGTTTTCGAAATTAGAAACCCAAATTATAAACTTTTCAGCTAACTACAGGGAAGATGATTCAAATCACATTATCCTTTCAAATCATCAATTATCTCCACAACAAAATGTAAAATTCCTTGGATTAATTTTGAATAAAAATCTTAACTGGGCATCTCAAATTGAAAATTTAAGTAAAAAATTAGATTTGAGTAGAATTTTCTCAATAAGAATAATCTCACAAGTAACGAATCTAGAAACCCAGCTAATAATATATCATGCATATTTCTCATCATTAATGACATATGGTATCTTGATCTGGGGTAACTCTCCTCATTCAAAAAAAAATTTTAAATTACAAAAAAAAGTAATACGAATTATTGGCAAAGTTCCCTCTAGAACCCCTAGTAAAAAACTGTTTCAAAACTTTAAAGTTCTTACTTTTTACGATCACTATATTTTGGAAATAGCATGCTGGGTCCATAGAAACCTCTCTACTTTTATGGAGACCCAAACTCAACATAATTACAATACAAGAAAAAAGAATATTATCAAACCTGTAGCTCATAATTTACAAATATTCGAGTCATCACCACAATACATTGGTCCAAAAATCTTAAATAACTTACCAACAAGTTTAATTACTATAGAAAATCCCTATAAGTTTAGACTTTATTTAAAAGAATGGCTCAAGACTAAATCTTTTTTTTCATTGGCAGATTATTTTAAGGACTGCTGGAATTAGGTATAAGTAAACCTTCACACTCCTGCTGGTTCAATTTTTTTGTGTCATGTAACATTGTTGTATTTTGGGAAGATTCAGTTGTTTTATGTAAATACAGATGTATTAGTTTTATCTATTAGTTTCAAGTCTTTATTTAACCATTGACAATATGTCCTGTTATTATAATGTAATGACATGTAACTCAATAAATAAATAAATAAATAAATCTACACGGCTGCGTGATAAGCTCATGGTTTTGCCGTGATTGCGGCCGAAGACGATGACGTTTCCGTGACCGCGGGAAACGACGATGACGTTTCCGTGACCGCGAGATCAACGATGATGTTTACACTGCCGCGGGAAAATTTCATTATTTTGCCGAGATCGCGGACAACGACGATGACGTTTCCGTGACCGCGGGAGACGACGATGATGTAGACACGGCCGCGGGAAATATTCATGATTTTACCGAGATCGCGGATGACGACGATGACGTTTCCGTGACTGTGGGAAGCAATGATGATGTCTACACGGCCGCAGGAAATATTCATGATTTTGCCGAGATCGCGGACGACGACGATGATGACGTTTCCGTGACTGCGGAAGGCAATGATGATGTCTACACGGCCGCGGAAGATATTCGTGATTTGCCGTGACCGCGAAAGACGACGATGATTATGTCTACACGGCCGCAGATGTTCATGATTTTGCCGCGATCGCGGACGACGACGATGACGTTTACGTGACCACGGGATCAATGATGATGTTTACACTGCCGCGGGAAATATTCATGATTTTGCCGAGATCGCGGACAACAACGATGACGCTCCCGTGACCGCAGGAGTCAATGATGGTGTCTACACGTCCTTGGAACATTTTCCTTATTTTGCCGTGATCGCAGACGATGATAATGACTTTTACGTGACCGCGGGAGTCAGCATGCGTGTTTTAGAGCAATATATGTTTTAACTAACAGCTGGTTAAATATAAACTATGGAACCATGAGGTTATTTTATTTACTTTTATTTTGTCATTGATTATAGGAAATAAGTAAGATTAGTAGAGATAATTAGACCACAGTTTAAAATAGGTTAGACCAAAATTAATTAAACCACAGTACAAATCGAGGCTCTGTACACGAGTCAAATTATTTTACTGCTCCACTTTTCAAGGAAAGATTAGAAAAATAATGTTTACATGTTTTAATTCTTCATGGTAGCTTTTTGTTTACAATTAATGTTTGTCTGCTTTAACTTTGTTTGGATTAGGCCCGGAAATATTGATGTCATAAAAAGAAGATCAAGAATAATCAGGAATCACGATTTTAAATTACCACCACAACCTCAGCCGGGTTTTATATGGATATTATCGTTTTATTTTAGGTCGTTTCTATCCAGACCTACTGGAAATTGTGTATAGTAGTTGCATTTTGGTGATAATAACTATGGAAGAGGCAGGTATGCTATGGAAGGTGGTATCGTTGACTAGGTCTATTATACACTTCTCAATTGACTACTGTATTACTCTCGACTGCAAATCTCACTTCAACGCTTTTCGTAAAAATTGAAGAATTGCTGTTTTATTGTAAAATTTTTGGATTTAAAATGCATATCGTATAGGCCTATGATGGAATAAAAACATATTTGGTCACACAACAGTTGTTAACAAGACGATTTTTCACATTAAAACTGCAAGAAACTTTGCCTTTATTTGTGTAAACTAGCTTATCTGAATTGTACACGGTTTTAACTGACTACTGAATTCCCGTACGTAGGACGGGCTAACACCTCGTATACTTTAAGCTGCAAGTCTTAAATTGATTATAGTTTAAGTGGAACCAAACAGATACGCGGAACCTGGAAAAACTTTGAAAAACCAGAAAAAACCTGGAATTTCATTTAAATAAAATAGTACATCCTGTAGTTGCAAATATTTAATTGATTTTAGACGCAAAAGTTAGTTACATACAGCGAGGTTTTGTGATTTTCGCCATAGTTTAATTAAAGCAGTTTTGTAGTAAAACACAACAACTTTTTTTCTCTCTAAATGTTAAAAAAGCTGAATGTGGTGTAAGTTATGTGAAATAAAAGTAGTTTGCCTCAATCGTAAACACGCATGAAATAAATACAGTCAAAAAAGGCTTTTGATTTTATTAAAGTATGAAAAGTGTAGACTCCAAGTAGTTTTAGTATCCTAAGTAAATTATATTATATAAGAAAATATAATTAGTAGCTACCTCTGGACATAAAAAACTGTGGTGTAGTTGAAATTTAGTTTGTAAATTGTATGAACACGCTAATACAGTTATAACTCTCTGAGCTCTTAACCTCTTACCTCTGGACATAAAAAACTGTGGTGTAGTTGAAATTTAGTTTGTAAATTGTATGAACACGCTAATACAGTTATAACTCTCTGAGCTCTTAACCTCTTACCTCTGGACATAAAAAAACTGTGGTGTAGTTGAAATTTAGTTTGTAAATTGTATGAACACGCTAATACAGTTATAACTCTCTGAGCTCTTAACCTCTTACCTCTGGACATAAAAAACTGTGGTGTAGTTGAAATTTAGTTTGTAAATTGTATGAACACGCTAATACAGTTATAACTCTCTGAGCTCTTAACCTCTGCTCTTTAAACTGTAAAATTAAAGTATTTACAGCTGACTTCAATTAATATTTGATTATTTACATTCTTCCAAAATGTAAACATTGAAACTTTGGAAGCCCGTGGAGCGTAGCCCAAAAGGAATATAAGAGTAGGAATAGGCTTATGTTAACCAGATTTGTAAGCTACCTTTACAAAAAATTTAAAATTTCATTCTTTTTCATTTTCAAACATGAGTTCATTAATTTATTCCCCTCGTTCCCATGAAATGTAGAATGCAGTATTATGTTTGTAACAATATTTTCAGATCAGTGAGGACAAGACGGAGGTGAGAAGAAACCCTGACAAGCCATTGCCAGAAGAAAGTGAAGCTAGACGCAAAGAGATATTGGAACGAACAGTCTATGTGAAGGGGTTCCCAGAGGAGGGTTTTACCATTGACAATGCACTCGACTACTTTGAGGCCCCAAAGCAGAACAACGAGCGACGCTGCGACATTGTCGCGGACACGAAACGCCGAGAAACGCGGGCCTGCGGACACATTTACGGAGTCATAACGACGATCGCGCCGTGGCCGCGATTATTGGACCGACGATCGCACCGTGACCGCGAGTCATAACGACGATCGGGCTGTGACCGCGGAGTCATACCGACAGTCACGCCGTGACCGCGGAGTCATAACGACGATCGCGCCGTGACCGCGAAGTCCTACCGACGATCACGCTGTGACCACGAGTCATACCGACGATCACGCCGTGACCGCGAGTCATACCGACGATCGCGCCGTGACCGCGGAGTCCTACCGACAATCGCGCCGTTACCGCGGAGTCATACTGACGGTCATGCCATGATGGCGAGTCATACCGACGATCACAACGTGACCGCGGAGTCCTACCGACGATCGCGCCGTGACCGCGAGTCATACCGACGATCGCGCCGTGACCGCGGAGTCCTACCGACGATCGCGCCGTGACCGCAGAGTCCTACCGACGATCGCGCCGTGACCGCGGAGTCATACTGACGATCATGCCGTGATGGCGGAGTCATGCTGACGATCGAGCCGTGACCGCGATTCATACCGACGATCGCGCCGTGACCGCGAGTCATGACGACGATCGCACCGTGACCGTGGAGTCATACCGACGATAACCCCGTGACCGCGGAGTCATACCGACGATCGCGCCGTGACCGTGGAGTCATACCGACGATAACCCCGTGACCGCGGAGTCATACCGACGATCGCGCCGTGACCGCGAGTCATGACGACGATCGCGCCGTGACCGTGAGTTCTACAGACGATCACCCCGTGACCCGCGAGTCACAAGTTTCTATAGGTACCTGTAAATTGTTACCCATTTTTTGGTTTTTATAGATCAGTGCCACAAATCGTAAAAATTGATTTCGTATGTCTTTTTTGGTAACTGCAATACAGTACTTTTTTATGCACAGAAAAAAATCCTGTCCCATCCCGTCCCGAAAATCGGGAAGGAAATAAAAATCCCGTCCCGTCCCGAACTAAAATTTTAATCCCGTCCATCCCTAGTGTGTTTATATAAAGAAACTATAAGTACATTTAAAGTTTTACTTCTGAAGACCTTGTTAACACTTGTTAAGGTATGTGTATATATATATACGATACGTATTTAAAAAAAAGTAAATTTAAATAACCTGATTATGCCTACCACTTAATAGTTAGTTTTTTGTTTTAAAAGTAGGCTATACAAGTTATTGAAATTTACTTATTTTATTTAACTATATTACTAGTAGCCCTAAAGAGTGAATATATATATATATATATATATATATATATACCGGTATATAAGTCATTATTTAGCTTTTTAGTTTTAGCGCTTGCGGACACATTTTGAGGTTTTCACAGGCCGTTGCAGACACGTAGGAACCATTCTGCTTTGGGGCTTTGAGGAGTTTGGACCTACTGATGACGTTGTGGTGAGTTCTTAATGGGGCTCGTGGTGACATGGAATCAAATACAATGGTATTCCATTCATTTAATTTAAGTTGAGATGCTGAATCAACAGCCTGCAAGGATCTTTGACTCCTCCGCTCTTTCATTGGCTGTATGGGCTATTAATTAACAGCTGTGTTAAGAAAAAAAGACTGTCTTAGTCACTGACAACACTACAATATTGCGCTAATCATCATACACTCATCTCCATTCATACTTGGCTTAAGCTTGTATGAAGCTGTGATATCTAATGGAAGGTCGATGTTAGATAGAAACAAGACCAGGGTTTGGACCGTAACCTTTTAATATATCAGAACGGGATGTATCGATACCTATATCGTATCGTATCTTCGTTCATCAATTTTTACCCATATCAGACAAAATATAGTAGCTTATGTATTGGTTATATATAATATAAAAAAATTCAAATATCAAATATACAATAGACAATATTCCTTATTACTGTACATTGAGAATATTACAGCATATTTACAGGTGAATTACAGAAACATTTTATTTTAAGGTCTTGAGACTTGAGACAAAATACTTTGTTACTTACAAGCTTGTAAAGATGGTTAGTAGTATAGTAGTCACAGCTAGTCTGGGCGTGCGGACTCTTGTGTACTAGCCGTGCTGAGAGTAACGGCTCGCTCACCCCTACAGCCTCGCTGAACAACCCAGAGAGCCGTGTGCGCCAGATGTTTTTGGAAATGAGCAATAAACACTCCCCTCTACACCCCCCGCCATAGCGCGGCCGCGCGCCCAGACTAGCTGCGACTACTGAATATCTTACCACAGAAAAGCCGTTTCCTGTGTCTTTTTATTAGTATCAAACTCCCAACATAACCTCTAAATCCTGGTAAACCTTCAAAATAAAAAATACAGATTTTGTTATTGTTTTCCTAGTTTTTCAAAAGGATAGTTAATTAGTTATAGAAAAAGTACTTATAATGATTGTGGGTAGGCCTACTTTCACATTTCATAGGGCCTGCCCTAATAATGAGGGTGCCACTTCCATTCATTTATGATGTCCCTAGTTTTCAGGTTACAGTTAAGACTCCCTCTTATCCAGACACCCTTCAACCGGACATCAGTTTAACCGGACTACACTGGGCAGAAATGACATCTCTTCAACCGGACAATTTTTATCAGCACATCGGTTTAATCGGACTAGATCGGCAGGAAGCGGGTGGTACTGAAACGACTGTTCTCGAGGGAAAATATTTGAGACCAGTGATCACGTGTCTCAATACAATGCTCTCCTAAATTTAAGTCAAATACTGTATACAGTATACTTTTAAACAGTCCATTTTAACGAGTTTTTGGGGACGTCGGTTTAACTGGAAATCCCGTTATCCGGACTGCCTTGGTCGTGAGGAGTCCGGATCAGAGGCAGTCTACTGTATTTGCAAAACATAGCTGAAAATAGTCAAAATACATGTTTTAGCGAATTTCCTATATAGGAAATAAGCTATTACCGTAGGTCTAATGGTAAGACTTGGACCCGGGACCGATTTACTTTTTCATTTTGATATCCCTAAAAGCTAAAAAGACTATCCATATGTGTCCGTTAGCACGATAATTTGAGGAAAAATTATCCGATTTCAATGAAATTTGGTACAAACGTGTAAGCCTACGTTTATTCGAACGAGTTCGTGAACCAGCATGATCGGACCGTGGGGACGGGGATTTATGGGGTAAAAGTTGGTTTTTCTCGTTTTTGACCCTCAAAACTTCCCAAATTTTCTCTAGACCATTTTGAAGAGCTTTTTTTAAAAATAATTAATAATAGCATATTGAAGTGTTTCTGTATGATTATTGGTTACGGAGAAAATTGTAAATTAAAAATTCTCATGTTATTCTTATGGAGAATAAGTAAACTGTTGTAGTTGGCTTGTTTGTGGATAAATTTGAATCAAACCTGGCAATTCTATTTGCTTTATACTAACCTATTGATATTTTACTAAAAACACTTTATTTCCTGTAGGCAGCAAACCTAGGTACTTGTTAAACCTAATGTTATGTGAATAGATTTAATTGAAAATCTAATAAGTCAAATGGAAATTCACATTAAAAATTACATTTATATTAACTAGGTGGCCAATGCAGTTGTCTGCTTGCAATATTGTGCAGAGCTAGCATATTAATCCAATACTTTTCTAAAGTCAATGCTACATCTGTTTCTCGTAAGTGAGATATATACTTGCAGTATCCAATGTCAATGGTGTGTTTGGTTCACATAAATGGAATTGTCTATTTGCTTTTCTATGGAATTATCTATGGAAAAATCTATGGAACTGTCTCTTGTGTGTTGCGAGTGTTGGTATTTCAAATTAGCGTGCCTACTTCGGAATCACAGTTATTACCAAAATAATATTGGCTATTTTTAAATTGCTCATGTGAACAGTAGGCTACATAATTTCTGTTGATTGTTTCACCTCAAATTGAGCACTGATCCCAGCAACATGTGCCACTATATTCATAGCCTACTTTAAGTGGCTCCTAACAGGTTATCTTTTTCTCTCTTATGTATCCTCGTTTGAACTGGCCTACACTTACGAAAATCCCATTGACTGTTAGAGTAGAATCTGAACTATTTAGTAGACATCAATGTTGGATTTGTGTCTATTGTTCTTTCTAGCCATTCCGCAATTTAAAAATATTGTTTTTTCTTGTTTACAGTTAAGATTCTGGCAAGACAAAGCCACCAAGACATGGAAGTTCAAGGGGTCGGTATTTGTAAAGTTTCCATCTCGAGAGGCCGCATCAGCTTTTTTAGCTAGAGAGGATGTCAAATACGGTGATGAGGTGCTTATCAAGATGTTCCAGTAAGTTCAATGCCTGTCTATGCAGTCTTTATGTGTACTAAAAACAGTACGGGGCGGCCGAGCCATAGCTCGGTATAGTTTATTTTTATTGTAAAAGCAATCTAAGGGTAAACTTCAGAATGAGCATACTCTCTAAAATACTCTTGTATAATGATTTAGCTGAAGACAGATGAGTCTGATTCTAGCGTATATTGTTTACTATTGTAATACAATCTATCTGTATCCATCTATCTATCTTATTGATGTAAAAGTTCCCATTTTATCCATATTAAAGAACATATTTGTTTACATTATGTAACAATTCAATATTTTCACCAATATTTTTTTAATAAAATAATTTAATTTCCACCATATGTTTTTCATTTTATCTAAATGTCAATCTCTTTTCAAACCATATATAGTAATTAATTGTCCATGCAGACCAATAGGTAATCTTAATACAATATAATATGGAAATTTTCAAATAACCTAATATCATGTAAATATATAATAGCCTATAACTTTTGTAACAAAATTGCTTCAAATTCAACATAAATTTATTTAAATAACTTTTCAAAATTATAATTTAGCTCTCTACCAAATGAAATTTATTATAATATATAAGTGTAAACAGTGGCCTATAATTTAATATTATTAAGTCGGCATTGACATATGTGAGTGCAACAATACATCAGACCATCATCACTTCCAATAGAACCAAGATAGTATGAAGATGCAAATTAGACACTACATATTTAATATCAAAATTTTATAAAAAAAGTACATTATTCGGACAAAATTAGTGAAATTTGTTGAAAGAAGAACCATCCTTGTGACGAACATTCGTAATTTATAACATCAAGAACTTAATTTCAAAAAAGACATCAATTTTGGTGAGATAACTCCAATAAACATTTTCCCTTTGGAAGCCATTTTAAAACCTTTAGACATTTGTACTCAAATTCAAAGTCAAGAACTAATAGAAGCTTAACTTATTCAAAATTATTATTAATTCAACCAATCTATAATTCGAACATAACTTACTTTATATTTTAAAACAAAATTTAATTAGGCTTAGGGCCTATATCACAAGATTAAATTCAAATGCCGCTCGATCACCCCACCTGAGATCAAGATCCTTGCAGTAAATTATAACATTGAACCTAAATAATTAAAGCCATTGTAATAGGCCTAGCCTAAAGTTTTTAAAGTAAATTCATCTCCCACTGTTTGTACAATTTATTGTGAACCCCCTTTCTTTTCTTTCACTATCAGATTTGTATAGTAATTAATAAATTTAAGTTTCGAATTTGTACATGGAGTTTCCATTATAGACCTAAGTTAAAAGTTGATTACAAAAATGGCGCACCAACGTATTGGCAACGAATTTAATCTTGTGATCCAAATGAAGCAATTTTGAAACCTTAGAACTAAGTTTGTTAGCAGTTAAGATAGAGAAATAACAACTCACAATTTAGTTAAAGAGATTTATTTAGTTAACATACCAAAACTGTAAATAATATCCTTTTCCCTTCTTGTGTAATCCCATGCCCCATAATTATAATTTAAGGTCCCGCAATACCATTCCCAACCCAATAATAGTTATGACTGACACAGTTGACAACGTCCAAGTCCCCACTGACAATAATAACACTTCAACATTCACACAACACAGTTTGTTCGTAAATCCCGCACAACCCGACAACGTAATAACACAACACGAAGTCGAACAATCAAACAATCTACCCGGCCACAATAATAACGAACTTTTCACCGAGTTTAATACAACCGAAGCAGAAGTAAACATGACAGACGCCATTTCTCGAGCAGAAACTGGAAACCGCCATCTTGAATGTCAAGGCCAACAGAAACAGCAACAGCTGCCGCCGATACCGGACTTCGCCGACGACAACACCCGAACGCCACCGAAGACTTCCGATGTTATCCCGTCTCATTCTCCCTCCACACTTACAAGACAGCTGATTCTAACAAACTCTAACTATGACGTCACCACATCTGTAAATGCCTCACCAACTAAGACGACAGTCGTTACGGATGATTTCCAATGCAAATTAATCTCATTATTCGAACTGCTTGGAAATAAAATCGATAAAGGTCTAAATGAAGTAAAAACTGAAGTAGCTAGTGTTGAAAACAAACTTAATAAGGGCCTAAATGATGTCAAAAACGAGGTTAAAAATGAATTAAATAAACACTCTATCAGAAAATCAAAACAACATGCGCAAGGAACTAGACGAAATCCGTGCTATCCAACAAGTACAGACTTTGGAACTACAACAAATTGAACACAACATAATTAAAAAGGTGTATAAACAGAATGATGAAATTAGAAAAGAAGTGTCCAATATTGTAGCTAATGAACGCATTAAGACCAATCAAATCATCACTGACGAAAGTCACAAAATTGAAACCAAACTAACCCTAAACATCAATGAAACCTCCCAGAACACTAAATCAGATTTAGAAAATTATGTAAAGTTAAAAACAACTGAAATTAGAAATGAATTGGCACCGGTAGTTGAGTACAACCAAAACACAATTCGGCAAACAACAGAAACACTTAATCAAGTAACTAACCTCATACATGAACAAGAAGCTAGATTTACTAACATTAAAGCCGACCTTGAACAAAAGCTAAAACAGGAAACCGCTTTTCTAACACCTCAAATCCATGTAACCTGTGGAAGTTCAAACTTCACGAATGATTTGACTTTACCTAAATTCAGTGGTCGATCCCATAATCCCCTGGAATATCTAACACGTCTGAAGAGATATTACCAAAAATTACTTTCACGGCAAAGCACTGAGCAAAACCCCATCGAAATCTTAAAAGACATTCTTGAAACAAGCCTTGAACACCAAGCTTCACGATGGTTTTCATTGGTAAAAAATGATTTGAAGTCATGGGAAGATTTTGAAACACAATTTATCTCCAAGTATTGGAATCGTGACCTTCAACGGGCAATCAAGCACAAAATCGAATCCGAACAATACAAGCCCAACGGAAAGTTAACTCGATCCGAGTATTTTATTGAACGAGTCATCACGCTACGATCCCTCACTCCAGCGCTGACTGAAGATGAAATAGTCGCTATTTTGTCAGACCATTTCTGCCCACTTATTCAAGACGCACGACGTGTGCAAAATGCAAGCAGTGTTTACGAGTTTGAAGCACTACTTCAACGACAAGATCTACACGACGCAGAAAAACGGCCCAAAAATAACTTCAGTCCAACACCATCTCACAATAATCAAAATCTGAACGATCATCCTAATAACTACTATAACAATCGGAGGAACTACCAAAATCGACCCAGCTTTCAAGCTCAAAATCACTATCATAACACTAATCCCCATACCTACAATCCCAAGAGAGAAACACATCAGTATTACCAAAACAACCGGCCCCAACATAATCCAAGTTGGCAACCAAGAAATCCACCACCACCACATCAGAGCCCAACCTCAGAGCAAGTTCAAATGTGTAATTCAATTTCGCAAGTTCCTTCACAACACCGACCGCCTAACAGTACGACACAACAGTACAGCGGACAGACGCCTTTAAACGGGTAGGCGCTGTCGAAACTGCTGGTCTGTATACAACTCTAGAATCTTCAGCGCCTGTGAACCAAATCGGACTAAACAGACCGACTATTCAAATAAATAATTATAACCAAAATAACATAGAACCTTTATATATTAACACAATTTGTTGTAACCGTGAATTCCTATTGACTGAAGAAACGATAGATGGACTTATTACTAACAATTTTAAAGCAAACTGTCCAGAAATAAATGTAAAAATCAGTAATATTCCTATCTGTGCTTTAGTTGACACTGGTTCTAACATTACCTGTCTAAACGAAAATTGGTTTAATGAAAATAAACATAAATTAGCTGAATTTGAAGAACTCCCTGTTAGCAATACATTCATTAAAACTGCCACCGGAGAGAAATCTAAACGGGTATCTAAAATCTTATTGCTGCCATTTGATGTAAATAATCAACCAACATACATACAAACTTTGCTTGTACCACACCTAGTAAGATCATTAATTATAGGAACAGATGTTTTAAGCTTATGGGATGCACGAATCGACTTCGAACACAAATTAATAAATATAAATATTAATAATAATGATGTGAATTTGAAGTTTGGAGAGGTAACTATTGACGGAATATCTTGCTACATTAACTACAATACAAGTGAAACATACAATTATGAAGATGATTTAATATATAATAATACAAATGAAATAAATACACATAGTTACAGTTCACAAACAAGCAAAACTCAAAGCAGCATTTCACCAGAGATAGTCAAAAGTTCTCTTGCCGATAATCAGTTAATTAATGAAGAACAACGTTCTAAACTTGAATCTCTAATACTAAAGTATAAAGATGTATTTTCCGACGAACCAGGAGTTTGCAACAAATACAAACACACTTTAAAAGTTGAAAATCCTCAAAATTTTAAGAAGAAATCATACCCAGTTCCCATTGCTCATCAAGATAAAGTCCTTCAAGAAATCGAACGAATGGAAAGCTTAAACGTGATCGAAAAATGTTACAGTACTTTTGTAAATCCCATTATACCAGTCATTAAGAAGTCAGGAGAGATCCGCCTGTGTTTAGATGCGAGAAGTATAAATCAAGTAATTGTCCCTGATTACGAATGTAACCAATCCGTAAACGAATTATTAGCTAGATGTCCCAACGCTAAGTTTATAAGCAGTATAGACCTTACTTCTTCTTATTGGCAAATCCCATTGTCTGAAGAGTCAAAACAATACACCGCCTTTCAATTCAACGGGAAGACCTATCAGTACAAAGTAACTCCGTTTGGCGTATCAACGTCGCAAGCCGCTTTGGTACGAGCTCTTGACCAAGTGTTTGACGAATCAGTGAAAGACTTCACTATGATTTACATTGACGACATTTGTATAGTATCGCCCGATTTTGAGTCACACTTAACACATCTAAGTTACATTTTCAACAAA